TAAAGAGGAGAGGTATTACCTCCTACAGTGCTGGGTTGGGGAAGACAGTAACAGGAGTCACTGCAGGAGCTCCTTTTGCTTGGTCAGACCCGCCTGCCTTTCTCCACTATTATTACTGTTTTAATACCAACAAAAGTTCAGCACTATACAAGACAGAAAATAAACCTTCTCTTGCCTGATGTGCTTAGAATCTCAAGGACTGAAGACATATCCACATCTGGCTTTCCCATTGTGTCAAGTCCATTCCCCCCTCCAGTTATACATTCCCTTCCTGAGCATGTAGGAAGTGGGGGTTTTCAGGAGGCATGTGACATTCACCGTCTTGACTGAGGCCAGGTTTTCAGTAGTGAGAGCTTCCTAGTGTGGTTCTGATAAGGTCTCCATCTCTGAGCTACAGGAAACTTGTCTGCTGTCCCCTGATATTGTCATGCTGTGGAGAGCAGCAAAGAAGAGAAAAATGAAGATCCTGATGCAGGGTTTTTTTTATCTGTGGAGTTTTTCAGGAGTAATTTACCAATGGACTTCAGCATCTGTGGGGAAAATCCTTACTGTGTGCTGTTTGGTAATACAGAGCCTTTAGTATATATATATATTATTATTATTCTGTTGTTCCTCTGGCAAAGGAAGAGAAGTCGCTTGATTGAGAACCTCCTTGGCTTGCAGTATTTTTACATGTAACAATTCACAGTGTGACTGATTGTTAGTCATAATACTTTGTGAAGGTGGATTTACCCTTATCCAGATATCTATGCACTTCTAATTAGATAGCAATATATACCCTCTCAGTAGGAGGACTTCCTTAGGAATAAGTTTGAATTTTGATTTGGGTCAAGGAGAAAAAAATACCTAAACAACATTCCTCAACCAGTGAGGATCTTGAACATAAAATGTGGAGGAAGGACATTATTACAATGATGAGACTATACAGTAGGGCAATGTGGGTGATTCCATTAAATTAGTATCTGTACTTTCAAAAAATTCACTATTTGTAGGTGAAGAGGTGGCTTGGAGAGTTCATTTGAGGTCTATGGGGCCACCACAGAGGAAACAGAGATAAGGGTGGGAGAAGGACATGAAGGGGTCATCATGGTGGTGGGAGAGGAAATTAAAATGGAATGTGTAGTATGGAGATGATCATACGGGTACAGGTATTATTAGTATAAAGATATAATCAATACACGGTTATCAGGCTCTTGTACTGCAAAACCCATTTTCCAGAATCTGTTTAATGGTACATGGTAGACAGAAGAAGAGTTTATGATTTGGAACAGATGCTCCAGAACATTGTTAGCAGTTCAATTAAACATGAGATTATTACATTGTAAAACTACTTCTTCTTTATTGCTTAGCAGGAGATCAGACTATCAAACATAGTGCAGAAGATAGAAATTAAAGAATAACCTCCCATAATTCCCCTCCCCTTTTTATTTTTATTTTATACACTATATTTTGATGGTTAAATTATCCTAAAACAACATATGCACCAAATAACTAATCTATTCATAAAAATCATTTTAAATGTATAATTTAATATCCCCTTTCTCTGATCAGATAATCATTGCAATAATTATCACACATGGGGAGACAATTTTAATAGTTTGCTATATTACATTAAGGAACTCTATACATCTGTTAACTCAAATTTTAATAACTTCCTGCTCTGAAGCTGGAGAGACATGGAGGACAACTGCTACTATGGGTAATTACACATTCACCAGCCAATGATGTATGATCTCACTCATAAGAGAATAGGCAGTAGCAATTTTCTATTAAACTGGTGTGGGAAGGTAACCTCCAGCCAGTGTTAGGATAAAAGGGGAGATGTTGAGCTTCCTGAGGGAAAAAATAAATCAATTTGTCACCATACACTCTTAAGTCAACAGTAAGCTTCCTGTATTCTATAGCACGTGGGACTGACCAATGAGCAACAAATACAGCTACTGTTCTACACCATGAAGTAAAACTAGAATATCAATTTGTTGCTGGTGAGGTATTTCCCTGGTGACCTGGATCTCTTGCATTGTCTGAGTGCAAAATCCAAACTTCCCCAAAGCTTGAGGAGGACCATATCCTATATTCTAGTTTGGACCCATCTTTAGAAAGGTTTTGCTAAAGCAGCAAGGTTAAGAAGGGATTTGAAGGAGAGGCAGAAAGCTTACCATTTGGTCAGTGCTAGGTTCTTACGAACATAAAGGGACACTCTGAAATAAGTCAAAGTCAAGAGTAGCAGTAGATCTAGCTATTTCACTGTTCTATTTCTAAGCCAAGTTCCTACAATATTTGTCACAGCAGGGTCTGGTTTAATTTTCTGACCTCCAGATAGCCTAGGAAGGGTAGAAATGTTCTCAGTGGACTTGGATTCCTTCAGTACCTGACCTTAATATTCAGGGATCCTAAAAATCAATAAAAGATATTCTGTACCCTTTCTCCCACTAATATAGTTGAATACTTTTTTCTCCTTTTAAACTGCTTTACTTTGCTGTCTCTTGTTTCTGTCATAGTTTGCACTCTATCAGTCACCACTTCTAATCAGCTTCCAGCCATCCATGCACATGACTGCAGCTGTGAGCAGTATAAACACCTAAAATCATCAATGGTCTTGGAGTTTTTAATGAACAATTTATGATCTTTCCACATTTCCACTCTGTTCACTGAAACTGTTTGTTTTTAGAAAGGTTACAGCAGGCTCATCAAAACCATTCTGCCAGGGGGAGCCAGCAGCAACTAGGGACAGGTTCAATATCTAGGGGTTCCTTTTCAACAATACAGCACAGAACTAGCTCGAACCTCCACCCAGTAACCTGGGGAAATTACACACCACCCCTGGGTGCCTCTGAGAGGCAATACTTCCCCACTTGCAAGCACAGAGTCTGAGCAAAGAAACTTTTAATGAAAGGAGGGAAGTCACCTGACATTAGTTAGGGTAAATGCCACAAGCAGGATTCATAAACATAAAACTGTGAGCAGGACACCGACCTTAGAGTGCATGGGGCAGTGCCTTCTGCCTCATGTTCTACAACCAAAAATTCCTTTAATGTACTCCTCTCTGCTCCCTCACCATACCCCATTCACAGTGGTTGTCCTTGGTCAGTGAGGACTCAGGGTTCAGAGGTGCATCTGTGTGAGTTCACCTCCCACCTAGGGAAGAAGTCACCTTGCTTACTCCACCGTCTGAGCACTTGCTTTAGCTGTCCGCCCTGCCAGCCGCGGTTCCTCGTTGCCTGGCTGCTCCACCAGCCGCCCATCAGTTACCTTCTGCTGCCATCTGCCTCTCTGCTGTGACTTCTGCAGATCAGTCTCTTAGTGAATTTAGCTCTCAGCAGACTGAGCAGAAACACTGCCCCACTACAAGTGATTTCAGTTCTTATTGAGTATTTGAAATAACAAAAGGCTCCTAATGAAGCCTATTTAGCTCTATCTTTGAACAGTGGGGAAGAACAGGTTAAACCAGACCAGGGCCCTTTAGGGAGAGTCCACACCTCCTAGGTAGGACACCTGTCCCCACCACTCTTACTTTCACAGGGGTCTGACATTTGAGCCCCTGGCTTAGCGAGTTCCTTTCAGCTGAGGGTGACCCCTCAATCAGGACAAGCTCACAAGGGCAGCTCCAGGCACCAGCGCACCAAGCGTGTGCCTGGGGCGGCAAGCTGCAGGGGGCGGCCTGCCGGTCGCTGTGATGGCAGCAGTCAGGCTGCCTTCAGCAGCATGCCTGCGGGAGGTCTGCTGGTCTCGCGGCTTCGGCAGCAATTCGGCGGCGGGTACGCCGAAGGTGCGGGACTGGCGGACCTCCCACAGGCATGCCGCCAAAGGCTGTCTCACTGCCATGCTTGGGGTGGCAAAATACATAGAGCCGGCCCTGCAAGCTCAGCACAGTTCTGCTCCCCTTTACTCATACAATGAAGATAACACTGATAACATTTCACTACCCCTGCATGCAGTACTAAAGTGATTTCTAACCTAATACCAACCAAAGCTGATCACTTGGAGCTACACAGCTCCTGTCTGCTAGATACCTATGCAGATAGGTGTGTTCATGTAAATACAGTTTGCTCCTGAAGTCTCTCCCCATCCCAAACTAGGTGTCAGAGGAGAGCTAATTGAGATCCTGTTTACACTGCTAAGCAGGGGACTACAATCCAATCACCACCTTGCAACTGCACATTCCTGGCCCATGGTGAGGTAGGAGGAAGAATTCTGACCAGGAAGTGAGTGGGCACTGCTGGGAAGCATCAGTGGCATGGTGAACTAGGAGCTTCAGAGAAGCTGAATGCAGAGATAACCCCCCAGGAACCCTACACAGAGCTGCATGTGGAATGTTATAGCCAGACATTACAGCTAGCTGCAGGTCTCCATGGGACTGGGAATAATGGGGGAACAGTAGCAACTGGGCAGGGAGCCAGTGCAGAGGAGCCCCAATGAAAGAGACAGTACAAATTGATTTCTGGCTTGGAAACCTGCAAGTTTGTATTTGCTTGAACAGAGACTGAACTGGAGAGAACACCCCAGACACTAGGCCTGGAGAGTTCTCCTAACCGTGAACTGGATTTCCCCAGGGGCCCAAGAATCACCGTTTCTCACTTTGAACTGGAACTGTTGAAGCCTCTGTACCTAGAATATTTGCAACTTTTTCCTTTTCTTGCCAGCCCTAGTCAAATACCCTTTCACTTTAGCTAGTGTCTAAGTGGTTAGTGGGACCCACCAGGACTAGCGCCTACAAGGCCTCGCTACTGAAGCACCTTCAGTGCTTGCCTCTGAGCTGCAGTACACCTGGCATGCTACAGGTACCTTTAGAGCTGTGCTTTACTCCAGCACTGAGCAGCTATAACAATTAGAGTTTTTTTAACACAACTGCGTCAGAAGTAAGCTTGAGTCAGGCAGATCTTCCTAAGAGTGTATTAGCGGTTTTCAGAAGTTTATATTCACATTACACACACACAGCCAGAAAGTTCCAGTGCTCTCAAAATGCAGTGAACTCCACATCCACTGTGTGTTTACGGAATTGGCCTCACACTATGGGGATTTGCAGGAGACTAAAAACTGGGCAGCAGCCTGACCTGCAATTAAGGGATAGCATTATTAGTGTAGGTCAAAGTTTAGTAACTACAAACCACTGAGCAGGAGGAGGAAAAGGACTATTAACTTTATTATCCCTTTCAGACACAGTCAGGCACTTTCTGATTTATGCTACAGACTCTAGTCATTTAAAAATAGATAGGTATAAAGACAAATAAGCAAGCTCTGGAGTTCTGCCACAGCATCTGCATTATTTATCCACCTGTCTATCCATGTATCAGTTTGAGAGATATACAAGATACATTCAACCCATGTTTGTTCCCTGCATTCCTTCTCACAGCTGATAAAATACAATGACTTACAAAAGGTTTCTTTGTCCTAATATTTTGTGATATTACAGCATAATCAACACAGATCCCATTAAAAAGACTTCAGGGACTAGAAAGCTAAATATTTAATGCTTTTCTATCTATGATCAGTTTAATAATTAATGTGGTTCCTATCCAGGAAATGATAAAACACATCACCATCACACATGAAAAGCTAAACAAGCTCAACTAATATAAAGAAAAATATTATGCTTGACTACAACAATAATGAAATGAATATATATCTGAAAAGAATAAGTTAGAAGCCACATCAGTATAAATCTGTGGTCGTGTTTAGAAAGATCCCTAATATTCAATATCAAACATTCCAAACAGCAAAAGTTATCATCTTAATGAAATCTGCCACAATGTGTTATTAAAAATTTCCATACAATCCTGTCATAGTCACAAGAAGTTCTGCTTCCTGCTCTTCATTCAGCCAGGGAGCTGTTTTGTAAAATGATATTTTTATAGGCACAAAAATGGAATTTAACCAATACCGAGGTTTCCATTTGAAACTAGATGGTGTGAAATGTGTCATTCCAGGACAGTAAACGCAATGCTCTGTCACGGCTCTTTACACCCATTCTGATTTTTTTGCTCTCAAGTAGCCAGCACTGCGACAACTTGATTGCCCAATAGAAGCTTTTAGCTCAACTGAAGAATAATGCCCTAAAAGCTTGCTCTGATCTACAAAAGAGTAAACCCCAAGATGGGACTTGACTTGGGGTCTCAAAGTCAGGGAAGCCTCTTTGGTGAAGGTTTGCTGTTGCCCATGTCTCAGCTGCCTGTATGGAATACGCTGCTGGTCACTTATACATAGGGGCACTTCATTACTGCCTTGACTAGCAGCAAGGCTTTCTGCTATACAGGGTTTATTGCTGTTACTGTTGAGGTTAGAGATGGCAGTTTGCTGGGACATGATCTTCTCTTCCTCCTGAAGTTCTTCATCTTCAGAGTGAAGTGAGCAAGACGCTTCACTGGTATGACTGTCATGTGTCACTAGATGTTGATGGCCTCTGTCCTCTGGAGATGGTGGAGAATCCTCCAGCTTGTCAGCTGGAGGCAGAACTGAACTGTGCTCATCCTCTGCATGGAGACCTTCCATTGGTTTATTTTGTCCATTTCTTACTGCCATTCTTTGGATGGCAAAGGCTAGATCAACAAGGCTAAGCAGAAAAGAGAGGCCAATCACCCCCCAAATGAAAATCATCATGATGGATTTCTCAGTAGGCCTGGAGATGTAGCAATCTACCATGCTGGTACAAGGAGACTGGTAACAGGAAAAGCGTTTAGGAACAAAAAATCCGAAGAGATAATACTGTCCAGCTCCAAAGCTAGCCTCTGCCAGTGTTCTTAGAAAAAGATGAACAGTATATGCCCAAGAAAAATCAGGAATATTCAGAAGATCTGCTTTGCAGGATGGTCTAGTGACTGCAACATTTTTGCAGAGTTCCTTCAAAGCTGTATGGCCAGCTAATGCCTTGATTTCTTCATATCTACATGGCAAACAATGTGCTGTCACAACATGCATGGCTACTTTGTGCAGAACATAGACATTGAACACAGCATAAGGTAGCAGAACAGACACCGTCTGAATGAGCCAGAATCGAAAGTGAGAGACAGGAGAGAAAATGTCATAGCACACATTAGAGCATCCTGGTTGCAAAGTATTGCAGATGAATCGTTCTTGTTCGTCTTGGTAGAGGGGGTATCCCGCTAACACTATCACCGTCATTCTCAGCAAGATTACTAATGTTAGCCAGATCTTTCCTACAGAGGAAGAAGAAATGGTGATAGTCTCAGAGTACAGAAAATGAAATCTAGCAAGTAAGAGGCTCATAATGTAATCCTCCAGCGTGTACAATATTTATGAACAAAAATCAATTGGAATCTTTCCATTGACTTCAGTGGGCTTTGGATCAGGTCCTTAATTCTACAGTCCTTACTCCATTAAAACCCTTAGTAATATTGTGGCAGGATCAAGCATTAATTTTTCTGAGTACCTCTCTTTTTATTTATTTTTTCATCAGACTCTATGCTTCTCAGAACTGGATCTTGTCTTTGTTAGATCTTTGCCAAGTAACATGTACACACAGACATTGTTCTATAAAGAATTAAATAATAATTTTTTAAAAAACCTTCTCCATGGCTGTGGAGCTCAGTTGGTTTGGAAAAAAAAGGCAGTTAGAACATGCAAGCTTTTTTCAGTCTATCTTAGGAGTTTTTACTAATATATAAAATCTTTGGACAAACACTGACCACAGAAAAATTCAATCCCAATACTGGATATTTTGCAAAGGGAAAAAATTAGGACTCAAAACGTTCACTGGAGTGGTTACTGAAACTCAGTACTACCTCTATAGTGATCAATATATGCAGGTAGAGTTTGAAGCCAGGACATCCTGAGTTTCAGTCCTGGCTCTGCCACTGACTACCTATGGTCTTTGGAATGTCATTTAATTTAATAATCTCTCTGCCTCAGTTTCACAATTTAAAGCAAAATAAGGGGGGTTGAGTGATTAATATATACTTATCTACATTAACACAGGATAAAGGTTAAGGACTCAATTCTGCTTCCAGATAAATGCAATAGTAAAAACCTTTGACAAAAGTAGAAGCAGGAATGGGTCTGAATTAATGGTTGTACAGAGCCCTAGAAATCTAAAGTACTGAGTGGTTCTCTCTGATATAAACACACATGGTTTTATGGGCAGAGAGTTGGTAAAATAGCCCCTGTAGGTATTTTTAAAAATAACTCTTTTTAAAAGCAAAATCCTAAGAATTTTTCTGTAGAGTGTATGGCATATACATACTTAGTCTTAGACAATCGCCTCTCCTACTTGCCAAAAAGCTAAGTACTTTTTATAACATTTGTGTGACTCTTAAACATTTAAATGTTTGTAAAACATTGGGGGTGTTAATATTTTATTGGCATGCATTTGAGATGAGCTACATACCTCTCTTGTGGCCAGCAAGAGAGACTATACCAATAGAGTAACAATAACACTACTCTCAGAAATGGTGAAACTAGGCAAGAACATATAAACAACTTGGTAGCTACGTCCTCACTACGGGGGGGAGGGGGTGTCGATTTAAGATATGCAAATTTAGCTACGCGAATAGCGTAGCTGAATTCGACGTATCCGAGCTGACTTACCCCGCTGTGAGGACAGCGGCAAATCGACCTCTGCGGCTCCCTCATCAATGGCGCTTACTCCCACCTCTGCTGGTGGAGTACAAGCGTCGATTCGGGGATCGATTGTCGCATCCCGACGAGACGCGATAATTCGATCCCCGAGAGATCGATTTCTACCCGCCAATTCAGGCGGGTAGTGTAGATGTAGCCTGAGACTGCAGAATAGGTGATCATATTGAAACCCTCCCACAACCAACTAAACAATATATTTCCTAACCAAAAATTATTTCTGATGGCATTCTTGGTGTTTTCAGTTGGCTATTCTGGTGGAGAAAAATGGGTACAATATGAAATCAAAAGTAGCCCTTAATAAATAATAACCTGTACTTTTATTACACTTTTAATGCAAGGATCTCAATGTTTCAAAACCATTCATGAATTAAGCCTCTCAACACCCTGGGATGTGTTAGAGCCTCAGTTTTTAAATTAGAATGTATACACGAGAGAGTTCTGCTTAAAAACCACTGGGTCTCTCTTAGGTTAGTACTATAGAGACAAGGTGGTGAGATAATAACCAGAAACTTCTATGCTCAAACTCTGTTCATTTTTTTTTTTTTTAACATCTTAATGCAATTTTTAAATCTGTTCTCTTATTAGACCAACTTCTTGGTGAGAGGGACAAGCTTTTTACAGACAACTCTGTGCATTGTTTTCCCTAAGGGCTCAGTTCTGCAGACTGTTACTACAGTGAGCCATTTCATTGAGAGTTAGCGGGATTACTTGCTGTAGTGAGCAATGCACTGTAATAAATATTTACAGGACTGAGCTATAAAGGCCAAAGTCCATAAAAGTCAGTTGTCTTCAGTAGTCTTTGGATCTGGCCCTAAGTCACTCACTCAAAATTACACAGTGAATCAGTGACAAACTTATTTTAAAAAAATAATAAGTCATTGTCTGAGAAAATTAAAGTTCATTTTTAATATGCGCTTGAATGCTGTGAACTTTTAAAACCCAACTATGAAAAGCAAGATTGCTTAATCACCAAATAGTTTATTGAAAAATGTTTTCTTTACTTCTCCCTGTATTATTTACTTCACTGTTGAAGCAGGCTATGTCATATAATGGAAAAATGTACTTTTTACACCTGCCTTGAGCTTTGAGTGTTTCATTACAGCTCTCAGTAGAGCTGGAAGGAAACTTGGTGGGTAAGAATGGCCAGATTTGAAAGCCTCCCCCAGCATTCATTTGTAACATTTAGAAAATATTCATAGCAGATGAAGTAGGAATATTATTTTTTTTAAAATCAAACATCCACAGCTCTTATATCCCATAGCAAAACAACTAACTTTCTTGTGGGGGGAGGAGAGCGGAGAGCGGTAAGACTGATTCCTGGAAATGAAAGCTGATGAACAGGGAAGAAACTTGGATGATTTTGGGGTACAAAATTCTAAAAGAAAGAGCACACCTTTTAAAGATACTTACCTACAAACGTAACATTGTAGTTGAGAGTGATAATCAAAAACCCCAGTGAGTCCCAGCGCTCCATCTTTGAACTAGTTCACTACACTTTCAGCTTCTGAAAGCTTAAGAAGGATTCTGGCATTTTCAAAGCAAATTAGACCTAGACAGAGAAGGAAGAAAATAAATATTTGGGGGGAAAATACCCAACCACTAACAACATTATTGATGAAGAATTATTTTGATGAAAGAGCTAAATAGGCCTGCTGACTTTTGCAAATTGGGAACAAACCCTTCCTAGGAAATCCAGTTGATTTCACAAAAGTTCTAGCTTCACAGATCTATTTGCTGCACTTACCTCTGTGGTCCCCCTGTCCTGACAACTGCAAGTAGACAAAAGGCAACAGAAGTAATCTCAACCATTGTGGGCTATTCTTACCCTCCCAGGGCATTCCAGCCTCCTGGCATTGCTGGGATATTTCAGTGGCAAAAATCAGACACGAGTACAGGAAATAATACAAGCCTCTCTGTTTTCCCCAAGGAGACTACAGATGAAAAATACAAGGAAAGGGGATACAAAGGGACCAACATCCCTGTCTTCGGAAAGCATTTTCAGTTTAGCAACTCTTTACTAGGAAGCTATCCCACTGCAATTTTCCCAAAGTAATTTTATTAATAAATAAATCACCCTCTCGGAGAGGACATCATGGTCTTGTCAATCACAGTTGCACCAAAAATTCCATAACTTGCCTTCAGCCTGACAGGAGAGCAATCTCTACCCTGCGGGGATATGAAGGATGAATGTGATGAAATCTTTAATAGCATCTTGGAAAATAAAAATCTTCTGTTTAAAGTCATTTTCATTTGGATGAGTTCTTCCTGTCTGTTTTGCTATTTTACTGTTTTGCATTGTAGTCATCACTGGGAAGAGCCTAGTAGAAATTGCCTTAATTGACAATCTAAGCAGATATTTGTGATGTTTACTATTTAAGAAGTAAGCCATGGCATGAAGCCTGTTAAGGCTAAACTGTACTTTTACAATCTGTTCTGAGTAATGGGCATAGCACCCCAAGAGCAAACCAGGAGGGAATTATGACTCTAAGCCCTTGTCTGCACTTGCAATGGCATGTAGACTACACATGGCTACACACTGCAGTGAAAAGCAGGCTTTTCCACTTCGCAGTGTGTAGCTACACACAGCAATGAAAGGCTCCAGGAGCAGAGGGGCAGCCAAGAAAGAAGCCAACAGTGGGGAGGCAGTGAGATACTACGCTTCTAAAAATAGCAGTGTAGACGTGGGAGGCCCTGTTTGGGTAGATAGAGTCGTCAGGTGTATACTCGAAGGTTCTGGAGTTTCTGCACTCTACTTGCCTGAGCAGTGCCTCACTATCTACACGGCTGTTTATACCTGTGCTAGATATATATGCAGTGTATGTACTATACACACTGTGAGACGTGTAGACATAGCCTGAGTCACCCCTAGCTCCAGAAAGAAAATAATCTACTACTGTTATAGAGCCAAGGCTCCTTCCACTCCTCACCCTGCATGGTGTGGTGGGGGTGGGAATAGTGGCCCCAGAATCTGCTTTTCTCTTCCCCTCCACCTCATCTGTAATCACAACGTGTGCTGTGGTTGCAAGGGTAATTCACATCTGGGCCTTAAATTACTGGGTGGGGGGGAGATTAAAGTAGTGTGTGTATGAATCTATTTAGTGGTGGTTAGACAGGCCTGAAGGCCTCTATTGAGCCATAGAACAGGCAGAAGTGTGAGCTTGTCAATGTGATCCTGTGAATGTATTTCTACTTGGACAACTTCACTGCTAAGGGAGTAGAGATAGGCCAAGGTTTGCATGGACATCGGGAGTGAACTATTTGTAGGTTTGGCAGAATTAGATTTTTTTAATATTACTTTGATAATATCAGTGATTACTTTTAATCGAACACTTGATTTTTATAGATTTAAAATTTCACAGGTGTGGGATATTATGGGGGTGGCTCAGACAATGTGGGAGGCTCAGACAATGTGGGAGATCAGACAATTATTTAGTAACCATAGCCATTAAGATTCAAAAAGTTAAAGCTTTATAACCATTAAAAAAACAAATTGTCAACATGTCAAAATATACAAAGTAAATTTCCTTAAACCAGACGAAGAAATTGTCAAGCAGCATTTTCTTTCTTTGCCGATCTGTAAATATCAATTAGCAGCTATGGAGAGATTTTTTCATTGGCTTGTGTGAGTATAGTAAAATTGACATTTACCCATTTTACTGAAACTGTCAACAGTGTCAGTGCAAGTTGTGGCATGGCTGGGTTATGTGATGTGGACCCTGGTCCACTGGTAACTGGATAATTTCCCGTTCTCCCCACCCCATATTCCCACAATATGTAACAATTCCAAAAACATTTTCTCTAGGCACTCTCTGAATTCAATGAGACCTAATCAGGAATGGTTAAGGCCTCAGACAGGACAGCAAGAGAATTATTTGCGTTAGTCTGCCTAAGACCAGGGAAACGTAAAAAACAGTGAAAAGTAATGAAACTTAAAAAAAAAAAAAAAACAATGATGATTTACCTTAGTAAAATTTTTTAATCTGAAGTGATAAATATATGTAGTATGTTTTTAGTACTCTTGTAATTAATAAACACTTTTCCAACCAAAGGGAGCTCTTTAGTATTGTATTTTACTGTTTTTATGGTGCTTGAGGTTGCATTTTTGTGGTCTTGGGCGGGGGGGAAAGGAAGAGTTTGGAGTGTGAAAGAGTGCAAATAACCATATTTTTAATTTTGGAAAAGTAGCTACTCGTGTGAAACTTCCTTTATCAAAAATAGAATCAGGAATGTTAAGATGCTGACAGGAGACTAATGCACAGCAGCTGCATTGACACAGTAGGTCATAAATTGTTCATCATGTCAAATAATCACAACTTAAAATGTCCTTAGCTGCTTTTAATAGGATAGACCATCACAGTATGTGAAAACTAAGCATATTTGTTCCTTAAAACCCTATCTGCCACCATCTTGATTGTGGCAGATGAGGAAATCTGGGCACAATGGCTCCATGACAGGGAGATCTGCTGAGATGGGTAGGTGTATTTTCTTTTTAAAAATTAAATAATTATCCTGTAGGCTTATGAACTGTGATGTAATCTATGCCCTAGTGAAGAGGGGATAGTGCACAGTCAGGAGACCTGTGTTCTAATCTGCTCTCTCACTACTATGCTGGGTGACTTTAGGCAAGTCACTTCAGTTCTCAGTGGATCTTTTTTCTCTGTCTTATTTAGATTGTAAGCTCTTTGAGGCAGGGGCTGTCTTTGGGCTTGTCTCCACTTACTGTGGATTGACACTGCAGTGATTGATCCACCAGGGGTCGATTTAGCGGGTCTAGTGAAGGCCCGCTAAATCGACCGCCGATCGTTCTCCCGTCAACTCCGGTATGCCACCGGAATGGGACGCATAAGGTAAGGCAACGAGAGAGTTTCCCCCATCGACCCAGTGCAGTGTAGACACCACAATAAGTCGACCTAAGGTACGTCGTCTCCAGCTAGGTTATTCATGTAGGTGGAGTTGTGTAACTTAGGTCGACTTAGCCCTACAGTGTAGGCCTGCCCTTTGACTATGTTTTCATACAATGCCTAGCAAACTAGGGCCTTGATCTCAGTTGTAGCCTGGAGGTACCTCAGTAATACACTTAACCATAAATGCAAGACTCAGTGCCATGTGGTATTTCTATGTTGCCTATGGAATTATGTAAAATATCAGCTGATTCTTCACTGCCGTTCATATTCAAAATTTGTTTTTGTCTTTCAAATAACTGCTCAGAAACATTTCAATTTTCCCTTAATTCATGAAAAATGTGAAGCAGTGATGAGAATTTTTCCATGCAGCTGAAGTTGTCTTTTCCAGATGTATCATCCCTCATGTTTACTCTTGGCCTTGCACTCTTCCCTAGGTTCCTCTTTGTCAATAGATACCAAAGCTAAATAATCTAGAAATGGGGTTATACCAAAATCCCATATCTGATCATCCACAAATTTTGGCAAAGTTGAGTGCTGAAATCGGTGATCCAAGTCCACGTATACAATCAATATATTTTTTTTTAAAAAAAAGAGGTGACTACAGGTGAAACATCACTTTAAGGAACTGCAAGGGAAAAGAAGTGATGAAATTATTACAGGATATTAAAGAGCCACAGCACAGCCCTCACTTGAAGGGGTCAGCAATGAAACACAAGGAGGTGCAATAAATCTATTTTCAAATCCACAACGGCTGTCTGAGTTTAAAACCATTTACAACAAATTCAGGGCTTGAACCGGCAAACACTTACACAGGAGTATCCTATTGAGAGTGAAAACAGTTGTGCACATATCAGGACCATATTTGATAATGGACACATTTTGTCCAAAGTGGTGAAAACAATAATCCACAGTTACATACAGACCTACCTGGGTTGACCCATGTCATGTTCTCTGCTAAAAGTTAATCAATGTGGCACAATGTATAATGTAATGTAAAGACTGGGCCTAGTCCTTGGCCCTGGGTGAGGACTCAGTGCAGCTCCGTATTAATTAGCATTAATATGTATTACACATGTATGGGATTAATATTGTATACTTCATATGCCATATGAATGTTGGGTAGTTTTGCTAATTGACTTGTGTGATGCTTTCCCCCCGAATGCGGATTACTCCTGTTCTATTCACATTGAGGTGTACATATCCCAAAACACTTTGCAGAGCTGAATTCAGCTCTTAGCATAGGCAAATACAATACATTATTACTATGTCCTGGTACAGATAGGGAGTTCTTTCACAGCCCATTGGTGCCTGGAATGTGGTATCCAAAACAGAGAAGAAAGGAACAGGTTGCTACAGAAAAACAAGACAAAATACTGATTGAGTTCAGTTTTGGTTGCTGTATAGAATGTTCTCTAACTTGTAAACAACCACGTGTGTGTGTGTGTGTGTGTATATACAGCTAGTTTTGAATACATATTTCCAGAGCAATATTGAATGTTATGAGACTCTGCACTCCAGATTGCATTGGCAAAGAATTAACTCTTTCCTTTCTGTATTATACTGCTATGTCTTTGACTAATAAAATTGACTACGCTTGGTTATTTGGACTCTTGAACAATTTCAATCTTGAATCAAAAATGA